CTTCCTTCCTTCCTTCCTTCCTTCCTTCCTTCCTTCCTTCCTTCCTTCCGTCCTTCCTTCCGTCCTTCCTTCTGAACTGTTTTTCCATAAGCATGACTGGTGAATTACAATAAAACATACAGTGATGAAATAAAAGTTCCCAGAATCAGATACAGTACATTGGTCCAGGCTGATATTTGAGAACACTGATTATAATGATTCAGAGTTCCTGGCCCCTATTCACCTAGTTAGCAGCATGATTTTTTAAAAATCTGTGTCTTTTTTCATTAGTCACCACTAGATCATCTTGACTGCCCTGATCCAGAAGACAGAGCAGAAGCTTCAGTGTGAGTCCAATTAGGATAAACAGTCTTATCTGCAAAATAGGAATAACAGTAAAGTGGTTGGTAAAAGTGTTAAGAACTCCTGCTACTTTTCCTAGAAATTAGAGACTGGGAAGATCATAAAAACATACTTGAAGCATTCTGTATTTTTTGCAATGCCATAATACTGGGTGGGGTAGCAAATACTCCAAATCAGAGACTCTCAAATTGTGAGTTGGGACCCCCAGGAGTTGGGGGGAGGGGTGTCACATTAAAAAAAAAACTGCTCAGGCTTGCACAGTTAAATGGAAGCACTTTCAAAATTTAATCTGGGCTTTGTTCCCCACATTGTCTGTGCAACTTGGCTGTGGGGTTTCCCAAACAAAGCAGGAGGATGTTCTGACAATGCTCTGCTTTTACCTGTGGAGGTAGGAGCACTGGAAGAATTCATTCTGGGCTTTATTTTGCCTTTGTAAGCCTCCAGAGGCCAGTTTGAGAGGGCTTGTGATATAGATTAACCTGAAATTAACATATAGATGGTATCCATATTTCTTGCCCAACCCTAATATCCATGTCAGTATAAGCTGTTCAGAGTTGGGAGTGACCGGAGGGGCATATACAGGTAGATCTCACTTAATGACTGCCCTGTTTAGCGACCATTCAAAGTTATGACAGCACTGAAAAAGTAACTTTACAACCAGTCCTCGCACATATGACCATCACAGCATCCCCGCAGTCATGATTGACATTTGGGCACTTCACAACTGGTGCACATTTATGCTGGTTGCAGCGTCCCGTGGTCATGTGATCACCATTTGTGCACTTCACAACCAGCTTCCGACAAGCAGAGTCAATGGAGAAGCTGGCAGTAAAATTGCAAGTCATGGTCACATGATGTCTTGCTTATTGACCTGCGGTGATTTGCTTAAGAACCAAATGTGAAGTGATGTCATAAATCCATTGTGGTGACATGATGTTTCACTTGGTAACAGAGTTGCCGGTCCCAAGTTTGGTCACTAAGTGAGGACTATCTGTAAATCCTAGTAAATAAATAAATAAACTCATTAATACAGGAGGGTCACACAAATTTGCATTTATCATTTTAAGAGGTTACAGTTCTGCAAAGATTTAGATTTGCTGTTCTGGTTATGTGCCATTAAGTCAGTGTCGACTTTTAGGGACTACACAGATAGATTTTCTCCTTTGGGTCTTCCAATGGTGCACCCATCGCTGCTGTAACTGAGTCCATCCATCTTGCTGCTAGTCATCCTTCCTTCCACCTTTCCCAGCATCAGAGCCTTCTCCAAAGAAATAGGTCTTTGCATGATGTGTCTGAAATAGGATAATCTGAGCCTGGTTATTTGTGTCTCAAGTGATTTCTTCAATGATGCATTTGTTTGTTTTCTTGGCTGTCCTCAGGTGTTTTTTTCCAACACCATTCACTGTTCTAGAAGGTAGAAAGAAACCATAAAGAACATAATAGGTTAGCTGAAAATAATAATAATAAACATGAAAGGTCTTCATTTAGGAAAAAACTGAAATGTACAGGTACAGAATAAGTGTACCTTGGGTTCTGGAACTATAGCTAATTGCAACTGAGTAAGAGTCACTGGTATGATATGGCTCACAAATTTTAGGCTGCATCAATAGAAATATGCACATTGGGGGAAGTAATTGTTCTGTTACATCCAGTAGTTGGACCCACCTTAAGTAGCATGTCAGGTTCTGAGAAGGAATCAAAGAAACTGAAAAACAGGTGTAAAAATCAGCAACCAAGTTGATGGGGGCTGAAAATAAGTCTTTCGAGGAGAAGTTATTGGGGCATGTTTTCAGCCTTCGGAAGGGAAGGTATTTATTTTTTATTAGATTTACAGTATGTCCCGCCTTTATTTTGTACAACTGAAGGCAACGTACTAATGCTCCCTCCTACTTTCCCTGCAACAATAACCCTGCAAGGTGGGTTGGGCTAAGAAACAGTGACTGCCTCAAGGTCATCCGACCAGCCAGCTTTCATGTCTAAGAGAGGACTAGAACTTACCGTCTCCTGGTTGCTGGTCCAGCATCTTAACCACTCACCAAGTTGAGGTGGGATATGTTGGGGTACCAGAAAGAGAAAAGTCAAGGCTGTCCTCTACCACCCCAGTGCAGGACACAGAATAATTATCAATGTTGGGAAAGACTTCCTAATGGTGTCAAAATTAATGTGAACCCAATGAGTGACAAAGCTTTCTTTTGTTAGATGTATTCAAGGAGGGTGGGGGCAGCTATCTGTTGGAGATGCTTTAATCGGGACTCTGCTTTGAATGGGGACTGGGCTCACTCACCTAAATGGCCCCTTTCAACTTCAGCAGCATCAGTGGGAAGATGGTGGTGGCGGTGGTCAAAAAAGGCAAGATAGCAGCTACAACTGCAAGATCAAAGCCTTGCCCCCTTTTAACAGATGTGCATCCACAACCCATGTGAAAATGGCGCAACCCATCTAACAGGGGCAGGGCTTTGCTTGCAGCTGCCATCTTGACTTAAAAAAAAATATTATATTGTTGTAAAACTTACATTGCACATTGCATTATTTTGAGACCGTGGTGTTTATACAATGCTGTCCATCTTGACTTTTTTGACTCCCCCCCAGACTGCCCTATCCAATTCTACAATTCTATGAAATAAATCAAACTCAAGTTCTGATCTGGGTGAAGATGGAAGACTAGAAGATAAGCTGACTGCCTTTGTCATTGTTCACTGCAATTTGGTCTTCTCACCTGTTCTCTCAGCCTCCCACCCAATTCACAGGTCTGCCTTATTTTTAAAACATGTGAGACCTGCCTCACATTCAGCTATCACAGCCTAAGTCCACTCTTGTCACCTCCCCTCCCGCCAGCACAGGACACAGCAGTCTGTATCAGCTTGTCTGTGCTCGTTCACACCAACACCTTTCCAAATGCCAGTGTTTTACCCTCACCAGATCTTCAGGAGTAAAGTACTTCACTTTTGTACTGCTTGCAGATGCTTTGAAGGTGAGGGAAAGGAATGACATGGAGTCTCCATCCCTTGAAAAAAGATACAGCTTTCTAATATCAGTTAGAACCACCCCAATATTGCAAGCTGGCAGGCAAGGCTCAACCAGTGTCCAAGGAGAAGTCTTGTGGCTCTGTACAAACCAACCCATTTTTACAGCTCACGTTTCCATTGGTTCTTGTCCAGTTCATCTGAGTTTTGTTCATTACCACTTCTGGTATAATAAAAGTAATGAAAAGAGCAATTGGGCTTAATTATTTTAACATTTTATGTTTGATAGGGCAAATGCTCAAGAGAGGTGGGTGGGTGGATCCAATCATAGCCATCGCCCCTCATTCTATATGTGTAGAGAGGGTGGGTAATTACAGTAGAGCAGTGTTCCTCAAACTTGGTGACTTTAAGATGTGTGGACTTCAACTCCCAGAATTCCCCTGGCTGGCTGGGGAATTCTGGGAGTTGAAGTCCAC